AATACAAAATTACTCGTGCTAAACAAATAACTCTGAAATGTCGCCTTCCCCCCCTAAACACGTGATAAGTCAATGCGGCCATCTACTTCCGGCTGGTCGAAATTGACCAGCCGGAAGTATGTCTGCTTGCCAGATGTTACAAATCTCTCTTCTCTTTCCTCCTCCCCCCCTCAGCGGTACGTCATGTAACGTACAATATAGATGTACAATATATAGATGTCCACAAAGAGAGACTTGGAGCAAGTCTGTTGGGAAGCTGAAGTCACATTTTGCAAGATATGGAGTTCCTGATCAACTTATCACAGATAACGGACCGCCATATAACTCAGAAGCCTTTCGTGAGTTTGCAAGGGAGTTTGAATTCGAGCATATCACCAGTTCTCCTGGATATCCGAAGTCCAATGGAAAGTCAGAGAATGCAGTGCGCACGGCTAAACGGTTGGTGAAGAAAGCGAAGGAGAGTGGCAGAGATCCATATTTGTCGTTGTTAGATTGGCGTAACACTCCAAGCGAGGGTGTTGGATATTCACATGCACGACGATTGCTGTGCCGGCGAACTAGAACATTAATTCCAACAGCAAAGAATTTGCTAAAGCCTATAATCCCAAAGGGTGTCGACCGTAAATTATTGGAGCAGAAAAGCAAGCAAGCTTTTTATTACAACAAGGGTACGAAGGAATTATCGGAGTTGAAAGAAGGTGATCTGGTTCGTATCAAGCCGTTGAAGTTAGCAGAGAAACGCAAACCATGGTTGCAAGCGAAAGTCGAAGGAAAAGTGGACATTCGATCCTATCAGGTACGAACAGAAGATGGTCGAGTGTACAGACGAAATCGACAGCATCTTCGACATTCAAGAGAGCAACCAGAAGAAAGTACTACAGCTTTTGATTTCCAGCCACCTTTCATTGAAACAAGTGCTACAAGGGACAGTGTCGAACAATCAAGTCAAGATCACGTTGTTAGTCAACCACCTTCTGATCAACCACAGCCAGAGGTCGAGGGAGATTCGACAGAACAACAGACATCTATGAAGACCACACCTGTTATGTTAGATGGTCAACAGAGAACACGGAGTGGAAGAGTTGTTAGAAAACCCTGTTGATATCAAGATTATGGGACATGAGCTAGTGACTATAGTTAGATAAATTAAGTTATAGTGACTATTAGTTAGATAATTATGAACTGACTAATAACTTTATTGTGCAGTCTTTGTTGATATTTACTCTCGTATGAATGGTTATTTAGAATATTCATTATTGTCCTTGAAAAAAAAAACTATACTATAGTAGAGAGAACTTTCTAGTTTAGAGAAGGAGGGATGTAATGATATGTATACAAAATGTATATCCGTTTCCGGTTGCTGTGTATATATAAGAGCAACTATGTAGTTGTAGTTGTTAGTTGATAATAAAGTGATAGAACCAGAGTCTAAAGCAGACGTTACAGTCATGACTATTAAGACTATAGTCATGACCATTAAGACTATAGTCATGACCATTAAGACTATAGTCATGACTATTAAGACTATAGTCATGACTATTATAGGCTATAGTCATGACCATTAAGACTATAGTCATGACTATTAAGACTATAGTCACGACTATTAAAGACTTTAGTATAAACCTACTAGTAGACTATCACATATCGTGCCTCCTGATTGGCTACGCTACTAGTAGGCTATTAGTGATAGCCTACTAATAGAAAATTCAAAATGGCGGAAAATTCGCGTTTTGCACTTTTCCCGAAGTGTCTGATGATTTTTTGGACGACTTGTTGAACAATTCTGTACTAAAACCCCCCGAAAAAAGCAACAAAAATATGGAATGGCAATTTTTAAGGGTGAGAAAATAGACAAAATAACATACACTCAATGAAATTTTAAAATTAAAACTGAATTTTGTAAAACATTTTACGCGAACAAAAACTAAAATATTTGTTTACCTTTAATGGTTTTATAATTTTTTTGTGTATTTTTGTATTGTGTTTGCAGCCTAGTTGTAAATTAATGTTAAAGTTTATACTAAAACAATTAGACAACTCGGCCTCGTTGTCTAATTGTTAAATAGTCATGACTATTAAGACTATAGTCATGACTATTAAGACTATAGTCAGGACTATGAACTATCTAGAGTGGCTCCAAGCTATTGAGAACTCGGCTCCGAGCTATTTAGAGTAACTCCAAGCCTGTCGAGATCATGCAGTATCTTAATTAAGATGTCCTACAGTACCTTAGTATATCAATATCTTAGGATATCGTTCAGTATCTTAGGATATCAATATCTCAGGATATCAATATCTTAGGATATCATGCAATATCTTAAGATATCATACAGTATCTTAGGATTTCATACAATATCTTAGGATATCATACAGTATCTTGGGATATCATACAGTATCTTAAGATATCATACAATATCTTAGGATATCATACAGTATCTTAGGATATTATACAATATCTTAGGATATCATACAATATCTTAGGATATCACACAGTATCTTAGGATATCATACAGTATCTTAGGATATCATACAATATCTTAGGATATCATACAGTATCTTAGAATATCGTTCAGTATCTTAGGATATCAATATCTAGGATATCACACAGTATCTTAGGATATCACACAGTATTTTAGGATATCAATATCTTAGGATATCATACAGCACCTTAAGATATCAATATCTTAGGATATTGAGCACGCTCTTTCCCGCCCGCCCGCGCGATTTTCCTAACCCGCCCACTGATTAGTGTACAAATATTTTGTACATTAATATATGCATGCACCCAAGCGTCGCTAATTAATGGCTAATAGCTAGAAATAAACTAAAAAAGGCTGTAGATAAACAAGCGGCAGTGAAGTAGCCAGAAATAAGCTTAAAACTGTAGATAAACAAGCGGCAGCGTATAGTAAGCCCAAATCAATTAACATGAACCTGAATAAATTAAAATACTTAAAAAATGATGACGTCATGAGCGGAGCAAAGCGCTCCGCCCGTTCCAGAACCCCTCTTCCCTATACTAGATTAGATTAGATTCGTTTATTCAAATAAAACACTTTGCAGTCATAGACTGAATTATGTGAATATTTACAGCAATTGAGTTTTATACATTATTACAACAATTTTGAATAATTAAAAATAAAAGTAACTGAGTAAGTCAATTTATCACCTAGATTAATTGTTGTTAAAATTTATATATTTGAGCTATGACTAATAATAAAACATTTTTTAAGACGATCTGTCTTACTAACAGGTACATTAAACTTCGTTCGCTCCTTAAATCGTTATGATGATGTGCTTGCGGTGGAAGTAGGCCACTGAGCTTATGATTCGGATTATTAACAATATCTTCAAAAAGATGACTTGATAGTTGGGCTCGTCTGTCGAAGAGAGTGCAAATGCCGGCGTCTTTTAGCGCGTCAGCATATTTCAAGTCCGGGTGGATGATACGCATAGCGCGCCTTTGGATACTCTCAAGTTCATTTGACAGATAT